TGAATAATGCAATATTATACTTGAGAAAGTGCATTATGTAGCATATTCAGCGATCTTACAAATGGTTATTCACTTTTATCAATAGTCATTCTTCGGCAGCTTTATGATCTATTACGAGGAAATAGTAACTGTTTTCGCTGATACTAAATAACAAGGGTACAACAACTGTTTTACAAGTCTACAAAAATGAAATTCGACAAAAAGACAAATATGTAGTAATGACGTTTGCATGCGTCAAGATAAAGGGGGCGGTGTGTAACTTAAACATAGTTTCATAGTATTTAACTTATAAAATTATAATTAAAATCACTTTTAATTTAAAAGTATTATCGGAAAATCACGGTATTACCATTAATTACATTAATTAGACAATTTACTGTAAAAAGAATTAATATATATTTAATATTAAAACTAACTTTCACTCTCTGCCTTTTATGACAACTTTGAATTTATTTATTCCTATCACACATATTTCTGTTGTAAAAATATTGGAAATTTCCTATACTTTCTACGCAAATACAACATCTTACGCTTTATATAGAGCTAATAATACATAATGTTTGTCTAATGGAATCGCAATATGAGGTGATTTGAAGCACATTACGTTAAGAAGAGAACATAAAGTTTACGCTACAATATATACGATGTCGAATCATATTCTTTCTCTTTTTGTTCAAAACGCATTTTACTCTATATCATGATGGACCGATTTATCGTGCGTTCCTTACCACAATTTTCTGTTTTAAAGCGTTAGCACTTGAATGAACATGGAAGAAATTACGATTTTCTTATTCCGCGGTGAAATTTTCGACACGTAAAATTTTATTGCTTGTTTTATTTACCGTTTCTTTGTGAATAGTTAATTTAATACTTGTGATTACATCGATTGTATTCGACAGAATTTTATTTCAGAGATGGTATATCTTTAGAAAAAAATGTATTGAATATTAGAAAAGGAAGTCCTTAGAAAGTTAGTTAGAAAGGGAGTCCTTCGATAAATATTCTGCCAATTAATTAGGATTATTCTTTAAAGAATCTAATTGTAAATTAAAAATTGTAAGTAAGTTTAAAATTATTATGAAACATTAGAGAGAGAGAGAGAGAGAGAGAGAAGTAGTCGTAGTAGTAGTAAAGGTAAAAAA